CGGAGTGTTGCTTGCATGGAAAACAAACCGTAATCAGTTGAAGAGCTGAGTGCGCTCAAGAATTTCCACTTGCACTTGCCAACGGCCACTTGGAGCTATAAACTGTGAAGAGCTCTTCCGGCTACCAGCAGAAGCGCCAGCGCCAGCAGCATCACCCGGATACGGATGAGGCAGCTGCCCCATCGAGTGTCCTTGAAATCGAATACAGCTGCTGTCTCTGCTCCTGCACAGAGGGAAAAATCACTATCTCAGTTGTAGAAAAACAATGTACACCCATAGCACTTGTGTTCTTCTAAATAGAAAAGTTGTCAATTAGGATTCAATCAAGAATTTTAAAGATTCTTCAGATGATTTAACTTTTGAAATAAAGTTCCTTAGTTGAAGTAAAGAGAAATATGTATGTTAGTTATGCAATCAGATTAAAAATGACTGCAAAGGTTAGTTTTAAATAAATTTATATTGATTGAATTTCAGCTTTCTCTAAAATACAACATAAAATTATATTTCGATTGTCCCTTTTCCCCCGAGTGTAGCGATTTGTATGCGCTTGTGGCCGAGAGGCCTGTTATCCTCTTGACAGTTTTGAGTGACTGTCGTTGAAGCTGGGAGCCAGAAAAATGGTGCATAAATCAGAGAGCAAGTGCATCGACATTTATGCGTCTGGTCAAAGTTGCTTTAATTAAAGTTCGGCTTAAGCCGGGTCAATGGGAAAATGAGAAATGTGACATCGATTGCCCTGGCAACCTTTGGCCCGCTTATCGGTCTGACCCGGCGTTACAGCTTCCGCAACAGGACTCGTTTTTGTGCCTTGGGTCACCAGGATATGCGGATCGTCCATGGGCTGACATTGCCAAAGTGTCAAAGTGTAATCATGCTTTGTGCGAGAGGCTTAAATTAAATTAATTGACGGCCACTTGAAGTAAATTAAACTGGGGCCGTAAGCTTTTATTTCAGCTGCCGTCAGCCCGTGTTGCCATCGTCAATGTCCTGCCATTAAAGAGATTACAAAGGGTCAAAGGGATAGCTGCGATTGCTCATAATTGCGCGACGCTTGCGGCCAGCCATCGAATGTTTCTTTGGCTCCTTTCGCTCCGTTTTCCCCTTACTCTGCGGTCTGGTCCCAATCCGAGGTCCTTCTTGCAAAGTGTCATTTTCTTTGACTACTATCCAGATACTGTGACAGAGCATTTGGATGGCAAACTAATTAAATTTTGCCGGCTGCGACTTGGTGACTCGGTGACGTGGTGACTTGGTGCGGCGGATATGGGCAGCCAAATTGGCGCCGCAAATTGGTAATTACCCCGGCCGAAGTGCATGTCAAACACGTAAAAAGGCGACAGAGAGAGCGGCAAAGAAAGCTACTCGTGGCATCCTAACTGCCAGCTACCGTCTCTGAACAATGTGCAATTAGCCAACGACAACGGAAACTGCTGCAACACCACTATACTAGCTCCGGCTGCACTGCAAACAAAGTAAGGGTCTAAGAGCATCGATATCCGAAGTGGAAACCGTAGTACCAAAAATTTAAATATTTAATAGTCACATAAGGGTAAAAATCTTCAAAGACACTTTAGTTGATGGCTGGAGGCTGCGGCTTAGGAGGTTGTGGTGGGTCATCGTGGTTGTTTTCACGCCGGCCACTAAATGGTTTTCTTGTGATCAGTGGAATCCAGGAAGCGGCACACATGATGATGCCGGCGAGCATGAAGAAGGTGGCTTGGGTTATACGTATGCCCTCGATCTCCTGCTGCTGCTGGGTATTGCATACGCAGGCGTTTATTATCCGCTGCATCACAATATCTAGGAACCGGGACATCTTGTCATAAATTATATTAGCGTTTGAGTAAATCTAAATCGCAATACAGACTTCTATATCGGAGCCAAGTGCAGGTTAAAAACGAAAAACATTTGACGGACGGCTAAGGCAAAGCTAAGCGAAACTAAACTAGAAAAAACTTGAATGTAATAGATCATTCGTTTTTTTACGTGTATAAAATTACAGTTGCATCCACACGCTGCTGCGGCGATGACAATCAAGCAAACGATGCCATCGTCCACGCAAAGCAGCTGACGACGCGTGTCCTCGATGTCCTTGCTGTGTGTGGGCTTGTGTATTTTGGTGGGTGTGTTTGTATGTGGATGGCCTTTGGCCGCCTTGTGGGCGGGGGCATGGTCAGCTGCAGTGGAGCTGCCTAATTACTTGTAAGTTGGCGAATTTGCGGCATGGCGTTTTCGGGGCCCAGCAACTAAATTGAATTTGACGTGCCAGCAAGCGGTCAATTGCTAACGAGTCGCACCACCGTCCTGCGCCGTTTTCCTGGAATGTCGGTATCCGCCACCAGATCACCAGCACCGCCGGAAGGTTACTGAGACGGTCGGACGGACGGATGACGTCGCGTGTCTGTCGTTTCCTGTTTCCTGTGGCACCGCAACTTGCTGATTGCCCGCGTGTAATTATTTTTTAAGCACTTTGTCTGCCCGAGAAATTAGACCTAACTAAGCCAATCTCTTTTATTTCATTTCGGAGCTTTTTTTTTTGTTGTCCGTCTTTTTTTTTTTTTTGCCTGCATTTGAATAGCGTGAGAGAAGGGTGAGAAGGTGGATAAGGATGGGGATGGGGAAAAAAAGAGGAAGCCGGCAGATTTGGCTTTTGGGTCACACACGGCGGTCGGGAATCCTTGGCGCGTATATCCTCTTGTTGCTTGGCTTTCATTTTTCGGTTGCTTTGTCCAATTAGCAACTGTTTCGGGGGCTACGATTTCATTTCTTTTATTGTGCTCGTTATCCTTTTTATTTTGTTCGCAGTTACTGTTGTCTCTCCGCTCGGTTTCAGCTTGTGCAAATTTGATATCCTTGTTACAGCAAATTGTTGTACAATTATTCTGGCTTCGCCGTTCCACGGGAACCCCTTGTGTCCGCTGGCGGAGAACCTCTTTAATTCGACCATCGACCAAATCGAATCGAATCATATTTATATGCTCCACAAAACGTCAGGGTTCGGTTCCCTCTCCCCTCATTGTCATTGTCCTGCGCCAATATTGTCGCCCTTTCGATTATTTATGATCTTTACTTTGCAGCGAGTGCTCCCCACGGGCCTGTGGCCAAGTTTTAGTAGTCATCGTCCTCGACTCGGTAATAAATTTATGCTTTTTTATTTCCTCCTGTCATAATTTTACCCTCAAATACACAGACAGGCTCGCACACAGACCGAGATGGAGGGTGGCGATAGCAAAATACTTGGGACTTTTTCCCTGGCATTCCCGGCTGCCGGTTCACTCCTTTCACTTCCCCCTTTCTCCACATATCCTTAGCCGCCAGAGAGGGAATGGGGTATGTCTAGAAATTTTCCAATTGATAAATTATTTTATGGCAAATACACAAATTTCCTCATACGCACCCTTGCCCCACCAAGTGTGTGCGTATGCGTGCGGTTTTGCGGCCTGGTTTCTCGATTTTCATTTGGTGGCATTTGGTTCTTGGCTCAGTTCAGCTCGGATATCTGTGTCCTGCGCATAAAAGTCGTATATTCGTATTGCTTTGGGTACGCAATATCCTTGTGTACTTTTGCGTATTTCCTGCTGGCCAAGCGGTCACTCATTGCTTTGCTCGTCATCATCATCATCATCGCTCCTTCGAGCCAGTACTCCCTAGGCTTGCTTCTGTTTTTTTTTCCTTTTTTGTTAAGGCCCGAATACATAAAATCAATCATGTTTCTTTGCCGCCCCTCCTTGTGGCCATCTTTATCAATATTTTCCCTGCCTTTCATCAAAATTTGTTGCTTCGCTTGTTTTTTGCTGGTTCTTCGGCTGGGTTTTTTCCTTACCTATGTCCTGGTGAAGTCTCCGCAGAGAAAGGAAAACAAATTCGAGTCGATTTATAAAGCATTTAAGTTGCTTTTGCTTTCACTTTGGGCGACTCACGACTCGGGGCCGCTATAAATATGCTACATTTATTTTAATAGAATTGTTTATGAGCCTCATATTGGCAGCATTCGCGGGTATGCTGCGCAACTGCCAAAACATGTTAAGTAGAGAGAAATGGCTATAAACAAAAAATAAAAGAAAACGCTGAATAAAAAGCCAGAAAAACTCATACAGGAATGGCTGAAAAACCGCGCCAAATCAAAGACAACAAATCCGAAATGCGCACACAATATTTTGCGGGATTATTTCAGTTGGCTTCCTGTCACTGGATGGGGGGAGGCGGGGGGAACGGGAAATGGAAAGCGGGGCGCAGAGAGTCCTGTGCACTATCCTGCGGAGACTAAAAGTTCGGGCTACGATCCAAATTTCTGTTAATTTGGCATCTTGTCCTGCGTTGGCATTTTGTTTTTTGCCTGCCTGCTGCCTGACTGCCGTCGTTTATATTTTTTTACGCTCTGCTTGAGTTTTATTCGCCTGTGGAAAAAAGTCCAAGAAGAGCAGTTCCAATATATACGGATGTTTTGTATGTGCACCGTGGAAAAAAGAGCTCAAATATTATTTACTTAATTGTAGTAAATTAGAACATGAAATACGAAATCTTAAAAGCAACATTTTGCCATAAAAAATCCATAAAGTGTAGGAGAATAGGATACAGAATAGAATATAGATTATATTTAGAATTTACCATTTAAATAAAAAAAGGAAAATATTTTTAAAATTTCAGAGAGTATAAAAAGGTTAAAGCAAGCCACTTTTAGCTTCCAGATATATTATTGAAATCCCTACTTTTTTCTGTGTACCAGGACATATCTCGCTCTTGGTCGCCTCTATTCTGTGTGCAGATATGCAAAACGCTGTGCGCACATAAATTTCAGTGCTGGGCCACGCTTATTTGCATAGGAATTATGTATTTGGGCACGGCGGCTTAGCTGCATTACACAGGACACCAGCACATAGATCCTGGAGCACACACCAGCTCAGGCACACACACAAGCACACACACTATAGAATAGGGATAGGGGACTCTCTGTGGTCATGCAGAAAACTAACGCATATCGTTTTCCTTGTATTTTGCAGCTATAAATTTGCAACGCCCCAGGAAAATGCATTGCAGCAAAACAAGCAATTAAAGCAGTGCAGCCCCGCAACCACGAACCGAACCTGTAGTATCCTGCCGCCTGCTGCCCGCTGTGCTAAAAACCTATTTTAAATAATTAAAATTCCGTAAGTGCTGCAGTCAAAGACGTCGGCAAAGGAGAAGTGCAAGCGGAGCGCCAAGTCGAAGGAAACCGAGTCCTAGAACGAAAACGAAAAGAACCCGGGGCTCCCTCTGTTGCCCGCAACACAATCTGCGGCCTGCAAATTCGTGTGCAGCAATGAAATAATTAATTCAATGCACCTCACTAAGCCGGCGAGAAGCAGCAGCAGTAGCAGCAGCAGCATTGCTTATAAATTCGAGAGCCCCCATTTCAGCCAAACCCACTGCAACAGCCCCAACAGCGAGCCGGGCAAAATGGCCGCAGGAGCGAGGACAATTAGCCAGCCAGGACATATCCGCGATCAGCGGCAGATACCCATGAGGAGGAGCCTGGCCCACACCCTGCTCCTGGCCATCGCTGTGGTGGCGCTGCACTTCGAGAGCGGTAAGTTGAGCCAATCTAGCTTAAGGTGCTCATCCCGAGCAGGCGGTGCAGCACAATTGGATATTTTCAAATTGGGGAACTTTTATATCATTTATCAAAAAGGATTTTAAAATTTTTAATAAATACATAACGAAAATACTCAATCATAGCTTAAGACACACATTTAAAATCAGTAATCAATAAATAAATCATTTAATTTCTTAAATCCTTAGTTGTTATTAACCAATTCTATCAAACAACTTTACTTGAAAGGAAAATATTTCCCCAGCCACTTTCCAAAACAGTTACCTTTGCCAGCACTGATCCCAAGTCCTTGGCAGTTGCAAATTCAATCGCGTGCGCGATGAGGGAGAGTCAATCAGCGAGCTCGGCCGCAAAGCCATTCAATTGACAAAGCCACAAATTGCGGGCGGGCGGCCGCTCGATGACGGAGCTTTGTCGGCCGGCGAATTAATCTCACGGATGAATATTTCAAAGCGAAACTTGAGCAATTAATTTCGCTAATTGCTTTTCTTCGCCTCGTTTTTGTCTAGGGCCAGTCCTCGTCCTCTTAGGCCGGGCCTTTGCATTTAAATGCCCGCCAGTGGGTGCATTTCAAGGACTCAACTTTTGCCTGTGCATAAACCCAATCTGACATTTATGCGAATGTCCACGGAATCAAATAAGAGTAATGACATTGCCCGCAAAAGGAGCCGGGTGCTGGGTTCTGGGTGTTGGGTGTCGAGGTGCAGGATGCAGAAACCACCAGCATCTGCCTCTGCCCGATGTCTTGGGATCTGGCCGAGTTCCTTGACAGAAGCACTGGCAGCAGTGCAATGTCCTTTGGCTACTCAAACATTCCAGTGGCTATTAGTATTCATATCTTGACTGAACTAAACTGAAAGCTTAAATTCCTCTGGCCATTCGCCCTTCCTTTGTGGCGGTCCGTTACTGGTTTGGGATTCCGTTTTTATCTGAGCAGCGTTTGCATGAATTTTCATTTCGTGCTAGAATTGTTGAAAAAGATGCAATTAAATTTTAGGGCCAGGGGTGTCAGCAGCCAGAAGATGCAGATGGACGTGGTCCCGGAGCCTGAGACGGATGCGAGAAATAGAGTACGAACCACGTTTATATGTATATGTATGAAGAGGGAGAGCGCGCAAAAAACTCAGCACGAATTTCCCAAGTCCCTGACAGTGTCTCAGTTGAGTTTTCCAGCTCCCCGCCCGCCGTGCGCTCCTCCTGCGGCTGCAGCTGCCGTCAGTGGCAAGAACGCATTATTAATTTATTTTTCAACTTGCTAGATGAATAAGCAAAGAGCAAAAATGCTCCTCGAACGCTGCTTCGGATGCAGCCAAGCTGAATTTCCCAATTTAAGCGACGTCTCGACTGCTTCCCTTCTCTGCCACTTCCTGGATTTGAATCCGAATCCGCTTCAGTGCTCCATTGTCGGGTCATTTTGCATGCAGCTTTGGCACGGCTAAAGAATGGGTTAACCGGCGGAGCAGGCGACGTGTCTCGAACGGACTTCAATCTGCTGTCCATCACTGTCTTCGATCGTGCCTCGACCGGCACCGCAAGGAAATAAAATCCAAAAGTGAATAATGAACCGCAAATAACTTTACTTTGTCTCGAGGACTCATCCCCGCCGTTGCTTCCGCTCCTGTACCAGTTGCTCCTGCTGATGCTCCTCTCCTATTTTTTCAATTGCTGCAGGACGTTTGTCTGGATGGATGGTAAACTGAACAGAAGCTGCCGCCACTGCGAGTGTCAGTAACAATTAGTTTGGCTTGCAGTCCAGTTAACAGACATCCCAGCTCCAGTTCCGCTCTTTCAAATATTTGCATTTGCACTTGCGGTTGCCCGACAGTTGCAGTCAATTCCCCCCTTTTTTTATTCGCTTGTTTCGGTTTTTGCACCGCATCCCTGCACAATTAATGAAGTGCAAAACGCCAGGACGGAGTTCCCGTATCCTTCATCTTCATTAATGCTGAATATATATTGTGACATAAATCACACAATCAAATTATCTGCTTCCCCCGGGGCTCGGGGGATCCCAGATTCGGATTCGGATGCTGTCCGACTTAACTAATCAATTTGACATAGGTATGCGAAACTTTAACCCAAAAACTTTCGATACGAAACTTGTTTCCACCCCAGTTGGAAGATAACACTTGGCTGCTAGTGAGTAAGTGAAATTTATTAACTGCACGGACCACAACCTAAATGCAAATAAATCAGACATCAGTGCAAAACTTCTTCGGTATAAACAAAAGCCAAAAAGGATATCGGCAGCAGTCGAGAGCCGGCGGCAAGTGGGGCGGAAAAGTTGCAAATGTTTATGGGAAGCCGGGGTTGGAAAAGCAAAACAAAAAACCGCAAAAAGGATATTGACGTGTGACGAGGACGAGGACGTGGCTTCGAGAGGCTCTTGAGGCAGCGCGCCTACGAGTTGATGGCATCGCCGGAGTCTGAGTGGGTGCTCCTCCATCCATCAAGCTATTCCCCCTCAAACCCATTCCCCTCCACCTTTTTTTCCACTCTTCTCCTTGGTTTAGGTGCGGCGGTGTCAAGTATTTGCACTTGAATTGCGCGCTAAGCAAAATTCACGCGCATTTGCTTGTGCGACTCCAGAGAATTTGCTTGGCGCGTTCGCAGCTCAAGTGAAAATCGATGGGGCGATGCCAACATCTACACAGTGAAATAAATCAATAAGATTAATCATCAGTTCAATAAACCCATTTACACATCAAAAGGCTCTTTAAAATAGTACTTATTCCTTTTTAAAATAAAAATATACATTAGGTCTTACCTCCTCAAGGAGTAGTAATTTTCTGCAAAATATTTATTTAACGCATGACACTTTTGCTGAAATAAAATATGTTTTATCTATGAGTTCTATTCTTTAAATACTTTTCAAGTTTTATTATGCCATTTCAAAGACTTACAGACCTTGGCCAAAGGCAAACTATTATTATATTTGTTTCCGTGTATGCTGGGTGATGTTGGCATTGTTGCTTGGCCACAATGTTTTCTTTTCCGCCTCCGCTACGCTTGGCTTTTTATTGGTTTCCTTCGCCTCCTTCTTTTTCCGTGTTGTTTGATTTGGCTGTTGTCCTGCTTCTGGTGTCATGAGCAAAGGAGCAAAGGAGCATTTGAGCAAACAAACTAGACCTGCCAGCACACACACACACACACACAGAGGGACACAGACCGACTCCCATGGACGAGAACGGGGACACTCGAAGCCGTCATCCCGGGCACATATTGCTTCATCTCCCTACGTGAGATGATGTCGGGACAGGCATCACAACTGTCGACAACATCAACGCCAACGCCATCATCTCAGCCAGCTCTGTGCCTGCTTCAGCTCCAGCTTCAGCTCCAGATCCTTATGCTGCCTTGTCCTGTACCCCATCTCCATATTCCACTCGCCTGCGTCATTATGGGCTTCGTCTGGCACTTCACAAAAATGCACACAAAATCCTCAACTTTATCTCGTCAATAACTTAAGTGCCAGGCAGGGCTCTCAGTTCCTGAGGCCCCCCACAGTTTTAGTCGGTTTATTTTGGCTCTGTTCTACACAAAAAGAAAGAATTACAGCGATTTAAGATGTAATAAAAAAAAGAAGTTTGAGAACTCCAAAATAGCAACGTTTTTATAAATAAAATAGTCAGAGGAAATCCTTTAATACATCAAAAGTCATATACTTTAGGATACAAAACATAAAAACCAAGTGTCCGTAAAACTGGCTGACTAAAAACTTGCTTAAAGACATTTTAAATAAATTAAATATTATATTAAAATCATCTTACATGATTTTGATTATTAATATACTTTCTCTCAGTGCACCTCTGGCTTCGATCTATCCTTTAGCTTTTTCCCCACACTCGTTTATTGGTCAAAATTTGCTAGAACCCAGCTTGGCACGTACTGCGGTTGCAGTGGCAAAAGGCTTGCAAATGATTATTTTATTGACAATTAAATCATAAACATAAAACCAAGCCGCACAAATCTACTGAAGGGCTGTCGGGTTGACATGCTGTGAGGAGTGAAATTTTATTGCCATGAATGTCAGGAGGTGACATTAGTCACAGAGAAAGGCCAGGACTCCCCCTTCCGAGCCAGCGATTCCGGTTTATTGCAGCATTTAATGCCAGAGATGGAATCGCACTCAAACGCAGACGAACGCAATGTGCCGCTTATGGGCCATCCAGTGCATGTGTGTGCTACCAAAAAAAAAAACATACCAGACTTGGTAACCGAAGAACGAGTCCTGGCCACAAGGGGAAACTTGTTGCCTGGTCCAGGGCAACATCTGTGGGCCAGGGTCATAATCATCGTCGAGGTGATATTAAAAAGTTACGCTGCAAATGAAGAAATTGTGTTGGCCCGATTAACGTGTCTGCAAAGTTGGCCATCGCTTTGAGCTGGCTAACTGGCCTGATTGAATTGGTAGCGACAGCTAATGGCAGCAGCGGAAACCACTTAGCCGGGCCCCAGCAGCGGACCATATTTAATTTGTGTGCAAATGCTTGGCAAACAGGTTTCTAATAAAATAAAGTGACTCTTTCTCTGGCTGCGACTGAAGCAGAAGTAGGAGCAGGACCAGGAACTTCATTTGAATCTCTGGGTGGCACGCGGGACAGTGGCCCTTTCGTTTCGAGCCGCCCTAGAGCGGAGAGCCATTTCATTATGGCACTCGCCTAATGCCGGCCAACTGACGAGCTGAGCAATTTTAATTTGCAGCGCATTGGCATTGGCTTTGTCAGCTCTCGAGCGGAGGAGCACTCAAAGCAAATTGACATGGACCTGGACTCGTACTCGTACTCGGACCTGGATGCTGGTCCTCTACCTATTTTTTCGTATTGTGTTGTTTTTTTTCGGCCGCATATAAAATATGGAAAAGACCACAACACAAAAACATTGCTTAGTGCAGGTTGGGCTGCTGCTGAAACAGTGGCAACAATGAGGATGCACTGCGGGCTACTTGTGGCCCGGGCCCTGGTCTGTGGGTGAGT